GTATCGAGGATAATTAAGATGCATTTCGGTTATTTCATATTTTAGCCAGATCTATTTCGGCAATGACAGCTCTCAAATAAGACTTAAATTATTAAAAAGTCTATGCAACGAAACAAAAATTATTATTTAGTAAAAGTAGTAACTGCATTTCACGTAAAATCTATAAAAAGAGAGTAAACAGCTCAAACGAAAATTCTGTTACGTTTAGAATATAGCATTTGCTTAAATGAACTAAAAAACGTTTTTAGCACGTACACGCAAATGTATATGTACGTAAAAGAAGCTAGCAAACGCGATCGAGCGTCATTTCGCTAATGCACTGTAACGCTATATAGCAAAGAAAAGGGGGAGGAGGAGGTTAGGGGTGGGAACGGATAAATACTTTGGCAAAGTAGACGGGAGGTAGAGGCGCAGTAGCTAGTCAAAACACGCAAAGTACTTGACTCTTTCCTTGTCGGTGATATTTCAGTATTGGAAGCCATATACTCGGGCCACGCGGACCTCGTGCCATCACAAAGAGGAACGGTGCTTAAATATTACCATGGTGCACTTCATTAGCTCTCGCGGCATGAGGTCCGAGGAGGGAGAAGGGAGCAAGGGCAGAGGAGAGAAGCGCGGGCGACTCAAAGCAAAGTCTTGATAAATTGCCATAGAATGTGCTTGCGCGCTGTGCAAACGAGCCTTGTTCACTTCCATCAGAAACGTGTATGTGTATACGAAGTACATGCAGACTGACTCACTCATTCAAAGTTTTGCCAACTAAGCCTCCCACCCATCCAACTAGCAGCGAAAGCTATATACTGCAGCTGAGTATAGAAGTGGTAGCCCCTTGTTTTTGTTCTCATTATTATCGAAGGGTTGAGCTGCTGCTGATAGTACCTATATTCTTCGCAAGAGCATCCCATCGCGCAGAAGAGCTTCGTGTTGGAGTGTGTGCTATAAGCCAATTTCGTAAGCCTCGAAAAGTTGATTTGTTATTTACAAGTTTTTGCAGCGTACTGTAACTGGACTGGCTCGAGAGATTAGCAGTTAACGTACGGAATGACTGACAAGCTGTATTAAATTTTCGCGAATACCAAGTTTAATTTTAACTCCTTTTTATTTGTTTCAAGTTAGCGGCGGAAATCGCTTTTCATAGAGATTTTCAAACTCTCGAAACTGAACGAACGTAACGAACGAAAAGCTTCGTAATAACAGAGCAACTCGTGCGATAGCGCAGCTGCAGAATGTATGCCTGATGCTTTGCTAAATCAAAATAAAATAAATAAAGGCTTTGCGCCAAAGTGAGTGGAAAGTTATTTTCTACGAGTTTGCATATTATTTAATCCGTAAAGTATTTTTCGACGTGTAGCTACTACGGATCGATTTCGCGTTCATTGCTGAGAGATAAAGTGTGTCGCGCGCACAAGAACCTTTTGCGACTAAGAACATAGGCTTTGCGTGTTGCGATTGATAAAAAACTATCGATAAAAAACACCACCCTGAAATCTCCATAACTTCGTACCTGCACACAAACGTGTCGTTTATACGCTACCGCTATAAGTAGCGCACACCGCCATTAATCAAATGTACCCTGAGTCACCTTTTTTCTCTTTTCTCCTTTTGTTTTATTCATTTAAAACAATTTTCTTAGTTTCGATCTACTTTGAATGCAGGTGTTTCGTGAGAAGGATCTTGCCAATACTTTAACTACAAGTAAAGTAGAACAAGACTATGTTGGATCAGACTCGAAGCCGATTGATGACTAAAATGACGATGAGTCATTACGAGTATTAAAATCGCAAGCTAATATGCGTAAATAAGATATGAAAATGTAACTTATAATATTAATAATCAAAGACGTAACCTGATTCAAGAGTGTGATTGATGAAAAATAGTTGATACAAGGAAATCAGTTGTTTTTAGTTACTAACCAAGCTAAACGTTCGCAGTTTCAACGCGAGCTCACGTGCCTCGAACCTATTTAATCATAGTATATTAACATTTTACTCTATGGTAATTAAGTAAGGCTTATAATGAACATTAACCTACGGGTTTATGAATCATAAACATAAAAAAATAAATCGTCGTCATTTTAATCAACTAATCGTTGTAATGATAATATTTAGCACACGCGTCGAGTTCATTCGTATCATCGTGTACTAACTGCTTAATTAATAATGAATATCGCCTCTTTTTGTGAACCGCAGCAATTATTCCAATTTTAGGGGCGCAAGTACTCAGTATAAATGAAAAAATTACTTTTTGTTTCAATTTTGCTTGTGTTTCAAAATTCTCTAGCTTTGATGTATGAGAGTGTAGTATGTATGATGCCTACAGCTTAAACAGCGATGAAATTTTTTTGATTTTTCTCGCTCGAGCTGCATATCGTATTTTTCACACAGATCCTTTGATTCTTCATGTCATTGTATAAATCTTTAGCTAGAATTTTACTTCAATGTTTTTTTTGTTGTTTTTTAACGTTTATTTCTCCGTCGATCTATACTTTTTATTTTTCATGTCTATGTGCACAGTATCCATAAAAATCACATTTGCGTTTGAATATTTATTTTGATATCTCCATAAACATTGTGATAAAATGTTTCATATGAAGTACGTCAAAAACGGTCTCAATAAAAAATGATTAAAAAAATATCTTATCAATTACATTATTTTATGCGATCAAAAATAATACATTACAATTTTACAGCAAAAACTTCAAAATTTACAGTGGAATTTTCTAAATAACAATTCCTAAAACGGAGTTCTATCTAGCCAAGCACAGTAGGTGATTCTTTCATATCGCATGAATACGTATTTCAATACGCGTAGGATCAAAGACTGACAATAGCTTTCAGTCTTTATTCGGAAAGAAAAGCAGATAGATTTAGTCTTGGCGACAATACGCGCACTGAGCGCTTTTCAAAACTTAACTCGAAAATATGAATCCGTTACAATGTCACGTAGGTGGAATACGCCGTCCCTTTTGCCCCTTCGTTTACAACAACTCTCGTGTCATTTTTTCGTTTCTCTCGGGCTACATACCACCACGCGTGTGTCACGTACTACGCAGTCGCACGAGAGCTTCCTCTTCTTTTTCTACTTTCTTTATAGCCTGCGGCGTGAATTTCGCAGCTAACTCCCACTTGAAATTTTCATCAAAGAATGGTATGTGATGTGCCTGCTGTGGCGCTTTAGGACGAGAAAGGGGATTTATTTAGTAACAGCAGTAGCAGCAGCAGTACTGCCACCACTACGACCAATAGTACTCCTTTTCGTGTCTCTCGTGGCCTAGGTGAAATTTGCATTTGAATTTTCGCGTTCGGCAAACGTGAGACCGGTAGCGAGACTACGAACGAGACGCTAATCGTTAAATAGCGTTTCACCAAGTGCAATGCGGTATATGACTCGCACTCTCTTGTGTTCTCAAGGGAGCGGCGAACGAGAAACACTCGCGCGAACCAACTATACACACGTACACTAATACAAAGCCAAGAACCGCTGAGTTTCACATTTATAGAGTTTGGCTTGCTCAGTTCTCGTTTTCATTGCAGCTTGAATGGGCACAACGCGATAAGACGAATCAAACCTCTCTACGGCTCTCTCTTATACAGAGCTTTTCTGGCTGTTGGCTGTTGCGCTGTGACTTTTTTTTTAACATACTGTTCTTGCGCACTGGTGCAAAACCACAAGCTTTTGGCAACGAAAGCGTGTTTATTATTGACGATACGGCGAGCGATTTCTCGTCAAAGATCCGCTTTACACAAGTGCTATATTATTTTTTCAAAGTTTCATAGACATTGAGATAAAAATCAGATTTCCGGTTTAAAAATCTTTCGAAATATAAGAGTCAAATTTTGGTAGACAAAAGTCACGACGACCTCTGCAAAACAGCTCATTAAACTGTACGCACAACAATCTCATTTAAGATGAATTTTTTAATAGTGACTGGGTGCGTGTTACATAATTGATGCGCCCGGTAAAGGGTGTTAAGTAAGATCTATTTCGAGCTGGTGAAGTTTTAGCCAAGTGAAATTTACTTAAGTAAAGTTTAGTGAACTTTGCCTACACTACCTTACCCTCTCTCTCTCTCTCTCTTCCTTTCGCGCGCTTCAAACTTCCGCAGGAGGCTACATGCAGATTTTACCTTTCTGTTTTCTAGCGTATTACAATCTACTTACATACAAATGCTAAACTGTACTCATAGTTCACCCACCCCTTGCATCTGCATTCTCACCGCAGAAATGTTATCATTAGTCGTATAAATGGTGTATTCATTATTTTCAACAATTTACATGTCTGATCAGCTTTCCAGCCTTATTCTAAAATTAAACTAAAAAAAGTTCCTAAACTACCGAGCTAATACTCATTATTTATCAGTAATTGAGTTACGCCACAAGGTAAATTTTGTGTCACCTCCTAACAAACAAATAGCAATAGGAGATTGCAGCATTTAGCGGATAAGGTGAAACAGCAAGTCTATTATTCGAATGAAATGCAAGCCAATAGTCCTATCCAGCAGGTGCTTTGGCTTCTCTCTCTCACTCCTTTGCAATTAGAGGCAATCTCGGTCGATTACTATCGGCTGAGGTAGTTTTCCAACCAGTCGAACCAACAGATGTCAATCATTCCTCCTCTCTGAACTATCCTATCTCGTTATCACGCTATTTCACAAAGATCTGTGCGGACTGCCCTTGACTATATTTTCTTTTTAAAAAAACATGGTCAATATTGAAAAGAAAAAAAATAGAAAAAAAGGGACAAAGAGAAGGAAATAAAAAGAGAGAGGAAGAGAGCCGTGGAAAACGTGAAATAATATTCTCATGACATGCGATCTCGCGATAGGTTGAGGCATGTCTGCGCGGAGATCTCGGCGAACTATGAGAAATAATAATTGCGTCGAGCAAAATGTGTAACCCCTTTCGCTCGAAAAAAAATATGAATGAAAAGAGTATTATAGTATATAGTAGTAATGCAGACCCAACATTCAAGTTAAAACCTTTTTCTTTTAATGTTTTCAGTGCGAGAAGTCACGTTATCAGAGCTAAGAGACTCAGTGGCTAGGTACCGGGACAGGGTGAAGCTCGTGTGTCGAACGAGAGGTTCACCCCCTCCAAGAGTGCACTGGCTAAAAGATGGACTTCCTCTGCAACCAAGGAGAGGACTCAGAATTCAGCATAAACGGTAAGAGTGAACATTTTGGTATAGATAGTTATTTAGTTCAAGATATTTTTTATTGCAATTTTACAAGACTGAATTTTGAAGTGAAAGTTGTCAAGTGTTAACATTTATTAATTTATAACGAAAAAACTTGAAAAAAATAATGATGTTAAATTCAATATAAATAAAACCAAGATAAAAGTAAAAAATAGATGTATCTTGTAAAGCACGCACTTATAGGAAGCTAAAATCAATTTTTTTTCTTAATCTAGAAAACTTGCGCGTATATAAATAAGTAAGAAAAAAAGTCAATCGATCTCATTTTTCTCTTGTCGCTCGTTCTGTTTTTTTCTCTTTCTTTCTTTCTTGAAAGAGAGACGGCATCAAGAGAGATGCATTCGACGGATACCGAATCTTTGAGGAAACATCGCGTTCGAGCATCTTCGATTCACGTTGCAATTAGTTTAAAAGCTCCAACCACGGGAAATTTCGCTTATCCTCGATGTCGTTGATCCTGATCGCAATTACATTGCCAGGGCTGCTTGGTTCGGAAGTCGCACGATGGATAGGAAATTCGCGTAAGACGAAAGAATGGTTGTAGCGCGACGGCTAATCGTAAAACCAAAGCTGAACCTTCGTCGCTGCACAGGATGTTGCGGAAATCCGTGAAAGAGAAACGAAACTTACAGTCAATTCGAGTTAATTTGTAAATGATAACTTCTTAAAGTGCTCAGCTCAGAGGACTCCTTTACATGCTTTAGTTTCTTTACATTGTAATGATTATAAGATTTATTTATTTGCACGTCTTAGCCTTGATTAAAAGCATAAACTAAAGTTGATTTCTTTGAAGCATAATTCAGAGAGATGGTACTGCGTTAGCATAAAATAAATAGTAATTTATAACTACCGGTATTTAGCTCTCATTTTTTAAATCTGCGTGTATACTCGTTAGAGATTATTATTCCATTATGAGTAATTATTACGAGATAATTTTTTTTTCAACAACGTATCATTTGTTATAACCCTGCACGACGAAAGATAAAAGTCCATTACGGGGTCATATATACCGGGGAGGCGCTGATGGTATTGGAATACATTTCAAAGAGTGTAAAAAAGAGGATAATGAAAAGTACCGCAGCGAGCATCACGTCGCGATGAGTTTCAATGTATATATGAGGGATAGGGATGGAGAACTTGAAGGGAGGCGCTCACACAAACGAAAAAATTTATCGGAGCAAAGTAGTAATGAGAAAGATAGAGAGCGACAGTAGCTAATGCGTGTCACGCGCGCACGTACCCACTCGCACATTTCACATTTGTAGAGAGGAAAAGAGAGAGAGAGAGAGAGAGAGAAAGAAAGAGAGACGGACAGATAGATAAAGCAGTATGTATGCTTGGCTGATCAAACGATGACTCGTTTCATTGGTTTGTGGAGATCACTGCGAAACAAAGAAACAAAGAAAACAAAAACACAAAGAACCGGCCACCGGGTGCAGTCTGTACTTATGTTACCTACACTGTGCACGTTGACACATACAGGTACGCATCCTCTTTACACGTTTTCACTATTTTCACACGAACTTTAAAAATCGATGAATAAATTTTAATACTTTTCTGAGTTTACACGAATAGCACGTTCAGAGTTTTAATTGAAACAAAAAAAACTGAAATCGAGCGATATTTATTTGTAAGCCGAGTATTTTCTATACTTATAATATACTCGATTAATTTCGTACTAAATTTATCAGTAAAATATGACCAAGCTCTACTGCGCACAAAGAAAATGATAATACAAGCTTCTAACTTATACCCGTTGAAAGTTAATATCTGCTCAAACGATTTGACCATATCTCATTTTCAAGCTTCAATACGTTTAATAGCAACGGCGGAAGACCATAAATAGTAGATAATAATTAACACTTGAAACTAATGGAATAAAAAAAGCGAATAATAAATAATAAAAAAGTTCCAATAATCGTGATGGATTTTTGACGATGTGACAATCGGAAAGTGTGTCGCTTTGTCGAACATTTGTTCGCCGTATAGCTTGGCCCTCTTTTACCAAGCCTTTAACTGCACGCGCATTTATCTCTCAATCTCTTTCGTCTCGAGCTGGATTCGTCAATTGTGCCCATGGCGATTGGTGGTCTGTGTGAGTAGCTTTTTCGTCCTTTTCGACGAAAAAAAGAGCCTCGACACCCCGAATAGAGCGGTGGAAGGCGAAAAGCACTAGCAGCGCCAAGTGCCGATCGAAAGTGATGGCCATAAAAAAAACCCGAGATTTACATACATACATACACACACACACGTCAGAATTCAGCAGTGGACTATTCACTGGAGTATTTTCCCCCCGTACCCATACCTCTAAGTTTGAGAACGTACGGGGTGCATTTTGTAAGCTAAGCCCGAAAGAGCAAAAATCTCCAGGGCCAGAGCAGCATATATAGTAGTGAACTCGCGTGCAGTCGTGAGGTAGGCAACCGGAAATTCGATTGCAGATTTACATGAAATTCGTGTCTCGGTGCGCCATGCGCTTAGCCGAGAAAAAAAGTCGGAAATGGATTCGCGCAAACTTATAATATACTCTTGGTTATCTGGGCTACGAGCCACAGGACAAATCCACTGCAGTAGTTGCATGTGTGAATTCGCTTTAGATCATTTTCTTCGGGACTCGACGAATATTCAACGAGAGAATCTATATTTTATCGATTAAAAAATGTATGCGTAAGGGACAGTCCAGAATGCGTCAATCAAAATTTCAATCGAAACTTTGATCTCAACACAATTATTTTAAAAATCATTCGAATGAAGATGAGCGCTCGCATTGTGCGCCTTCGTAACTGATTCTATAACAACATCGTCGATGGTACAGAACAGGTCCACACCCTTCCATCTTTCTCTCTTTGATCTTCACGTATATACTTGTCTGAAATCTATTCATCAAATTCGAAGGAACTCGCAAGGCTTCGAGAGAGAATGTAGAGGGAGCGAGAGACAGAGAGAGAGAGACAGACAACTCGTGTCAAAGTCCATAATTTGTAAGTAGTACAAGCTGAATATAGTTGGACGCCGAGCACCGAGAAGGGACTATTGAGTAAATAACTTTGTCAAACTGTCGGACATTTATAGGAGATACACATAGCTCTGGTTTCATTATCCATTATTCAATTTAGCTGGATTATCCGAGCTTAATCGCTGTACGCAGCAAAGCTCGAACCGGCCGATAGATCTTGTGTCAAGCATTCGGTGTTAACCTTATATGAGCATCTGCAGCGCGGAGATACGAAAAACCCGAAAAGGTGAAGAGCTGCTTCGGTGATCTACTAATGCGCGATTATTGTATTCTCAGCCACGTCTTTGCGGACGATTCGCTTAGGCGATAGTGCAGGACTTCTGCCACGCCGTTATATATCCCGCGGACGGATAAAAAGCTTACCCGTGGCCGATCTAACGGGCGATAAGCTTTGTCTACGCAAAAACGATAAGAGCGGGACAAAAGATAAGGAGGGAGAAATCATAAAGCCAATCAGGTACCACAGCCACCGAATAACACTGTTCCGAAAACTCTTCTTTTTTTCTCCGCATTGCAGGAATTTTTTCGGTATTTTTTTTTCGTTCAATCGATAATACCCCGAGTTATGCATCGCAGCAGATTTAGTGCGAAGTTCGATTGGTTTCTGTGCGTAGCAGCGGCATTGTTGGATAGAGTGGGAGGGCGGAGGATAATTTTATTTGTATTTTTGTTGTTGAACGGTTCGCGTGATTTTATTCAAGCTCTCTACGTGCGTCCTCGCGTTTTTGGAGTATAGTCTTTTCATGTGTGAAATTCACGCCTGGGTGTAACGAACATAGATGCCTACACAAATGGAATATTTGTTATTTTTTCTCCTTTTTTATAAAATTGTTTGGAAGGTTCTCTAGAGCCGAGTGATATTTATACGACTTACAGAGTAATATGCATCTTTTTACTTATTCAATTGAGTAATTATATTATATTAAAAACTTACTTCTGCTTTTGCTGCTATAAGTTTTACGAGAAATTCATAAAGCTTTTCACATCCTGTACTGTAATATCCTTTGAAATAGGTACGTAAAATTTTGAAAGGACATTTTTTACTTTGATGTCTTAGAGATTTCGGCCAAATAATACACTCTATTCTTGACGAACTCAAAATAAATATGTCATGCAGTAACTTGATCATAAGAAATTTTTTAAAACTTTGAAATATAATTCAACCTTCATGATCGTGAGTAAAAAGTTCTGAAAATGATGTAAATCCTGTACACATAACTGCACATCTGTGGACAACTTTTATTTTAAGAAATAATTAATAAATATGAACGTTAATCGAACTCCAGTGAAGGAAAACAAGAAGTTCATCTTTTAATTTTATATCACTTCTATGAAAAGACTAGAGATTCTAGTTTAGACAATTGCAATTTCCTGTAAATAAAAAGTATAGTGAACATTTCTCTCTTTTACACTCGAATTTGGAAAAAAGAAAGGTAAAATTGAAACAATAAAGGCGAGAAATGGAATGCCACTAGCTTTGCACAATAACCTCTGGTATTAACTAAACACTATAGGTGTCTTATCGTGAACTTTTGAAAGATTAGAGCAATCAAAAAGTCTTTGTAGTAGACTAGCTACAATGTCCACAACAAGTATTAGCGTCAGTTTTCTGGCTGACAGCCAAATCAGAATAGATTCCTTTTTATCTTTTCACACCGCCTGTATGAAAGAAGAAAAGACCCCGCAAAGACTCTTGACGCTCGTTGCAGCTCCTGCTGCTACAGCTGCATCTCCGTCCAACTGCGTCAACGACGACGACGAGGACGGCAGTGATGATGGTCTTTATTTTCTGAATGCACCCCGTTCAACATTTGGAATCGATCCAAACTTCCTCTTTTCATTCGGCATTGCGCGTTCATTTTTGTGCAGTAAACACGACGGAATCGATTAGAGTGGATGCGCGCTTACACGGAACACACGCATGGAGGTGAAACGCGAAATATGCACTGCT